CGTTTGCCTACATGATAGTGCCGACCTCAATCTGAAGAGCTCACTACGAGCACGATGCGCCGCTGCGGCACACTGTTCCGCCCGTTTATAGTCTGCAGTCACTATGATTCCTCAATCCCTAAAAAGGCGTTGACAGTGGGATTCGAACCCACGCCCTTGCAGTTCAGTGCAGTTCAGTTTGCACAGGACGATGTGTGGCCCGGGCCAATCTTGCCCGGGCCTCACATCAGGACAGGACAGGACAGTTCACAGGACTTGCGGCTTCAAATTCAAATCAAATCACAAGACGTAGAGAGGCCTTCGCCTGTTGGGTGTCCTGGTAATGGCGGGTTCCGTCTGTGGACCGACTCGCCTGCGAGTGTAAAGTTCCTTCCGATTCTCCACNCAAACCCAATTCTTGGTTTTGCTTCTTCTCTGGACGGATATCCAGAACGAACGTGAGCAAACATTAGTGACGGTCTGACGAACATCGGCAACTGCCCAGTCACCAGATGCACCTCAAACAATGCTACTGCTTTGTACTTCGCGCTTGGTTGCGCAAGGCTAGAGTGCACTCTTAAGCAAGGCCTACCCTGGGCTGGGTGACCTAGTAGCACAGCAACCCACATTGCACACAAAACAAAATTTGAAATCTTTGTTAACCCAAGAATTCACACCAACAACAGTCTACCCGCAGTTTTTGTGAATCAGTTTAGACAGAGAAAAACCATGGCCAGGTATCACAGCGAACAAGAGGTCTGAATCCGTATCAAAAGGGCGTTCTAAGTCCACAGATAATATTACAGACGCCTGAGAGCGCAGATCGCCAGCGCTAGAAAAAATAAACGTGCGAAGCCGTAGGGAATAGACCCCGAGGGCGTGCCCGGCTCTTCCTCAAAAGGGAAGGAATCACTATATAATCGGATTCATGACGAATGTTTGAAGTATAATAAATAAGGATGAGCTGGCCATCTTACTTACAGGGGTCGAGTTCGCCTTAATAACAGAAACATGGCTCTCGGAATGCGTTGTACTGGGTCGTATAAGCAACAGCTTCACTGCTAACAGGTCAGACAGACCTAGGGGATTCAGGGAGATGGAGTAATTTCGTTGGTCAGAGATCACATTAAACAGGCACCAATCCTGCCCACCTACGAATCCGAAAATGTCCAACTAGTAGCGTGTACGATGGGTTCTCCGGCAGTACTAACCCTGGTAGGAGTGTACCAAAGCCCTCGCGCGATGCCCCTCGAAAACGTTGAGCTGATACAAACTCCCCTCCGACTATGTATAATAAGCGACTTTAAAGCCCCCGGGATACATTGGGAAACGGAAACCAACGAGAGCCGTGGTTTCAAAAAACCAGTTAGAATGCCACGGCGAGCGATGTTTGCCGAGGTAGGTAGTGGGTGGAAGAAAGTCCAGGGTGGTCAAGCTAATACCTGGTATGAGGGTATGAAAACCCTAACCAGGAGTCTAGATTACACAAATCCCGTTGGGCTCCCTGGCTGGGGATATCGGGATGATCGTAACCGATGGTTAGAGACACTGAATGATATGGCTGGGTATCGTAAACAGTGGCGTTCGTGCATCTTGTTGATTTCTCTGCAATATTGGTGCAATGAAATCGTAAATTTTCTGTTCGGTCATACTTTCAACCTTTCTTGTCTTTCTTTTTATGTTCATCCAAATGGGCAGCCAAAAGGCAGCAACCAATACCGGCGCATCGTAGTGCATGGATAATGGTTGTAGAAACTGAAACTGAAAACCGATTGTCTTCCCAATCGTTGGACTTGTTTCTACCTCGTATATTGTCTCGTTCGTTATTGATTTGTTATATGGTTCCCATTTATTATTATTTGTAAGTGAACGCTGACAATTTTAGCACATTCCACTGACCTAATCATTCCGATAGCATCTTTCTAACTTTCTTAAAGATGAGGCGAATTCGGAATCTTTGATGAAAAAAGCTATAATCGAAATGACCATGGATACATTGTGATTAGCGATCTTGTTTTCATCTCACGGTTAATACCTTACTAACTATAATAATCGGTTATAAGGAAAATAGACTTCTTTTTTCAGCTAAATTTGCAGTCTGTGTGCTACTTAGAAATCTTTCTTTCGTTCCTACGGAATAGCTTTGTTATGTATGTCAGAACTGCATCGTTGAGTTACTGAAATCACAGAACATACGGCGGAGCCAGGATTAGTCCAGTTTTTTTCTGAGTCGGTGTGCGTGGGCGCACCACGGCACTGCGAAAATTGTGGTATTTCTTTCGGCTTTGGTCAGAAATGTCCGGGTTCTTGTTCTTGTGATCTAATGGATCACACTTTACCTCGACTGATAAACAATCCCGAAGTTTTGTGATGGATGTTTTAACTGCAAGGAGGAGATGAAAAGTAGGATTGTCTCCAGGGAATCGGTAGTCCCAATAGTTTGAAAGCACTGCACCTCACTGAGTGCCACGCCTGTCATGAGAGCTCGACATTAGATGAGTTCATGTGACGGTCTTGCATGAGTTGAGTGATGTTCAAAGAGTAACAGTGTGAGAACAACCTAGGTAAGGGTAGGTGTGACTGCTACTAGTTCTACTCAGAGAACACCTTTTCTCAGCAGTCTTCTCGCCTTCGTTTGAATTTTGCTTCAGAATTCGCTGCTACTGCAGTGGGTGAAAGTTTATTCCTTTCTTTTACCGCACGGTACGAGAAAAGATGCACTCTGGAATTCCCATTATCCCATGGTTTCATTAGTTTCAGCTCGTGATCCACGAGTGTTGATTTTTGGTTGAGAAACTACACTGGTCTGTTCGTTACTGCCAGTCACTTTAGCTGCCTAAACATCTCAGTTAATTCCCCTCAGCTGTCGTCTAATCAGCGAAAACACTCCAAAGACTGTTAAGCTTCCTTGTGGAACATCAAGTAGTGCCCGACGGTCATTCCGATAAACCGTCTCTAAGTGACTTCAATCAACTGTACGCAGCACTCTATATGCGGTTGTAAAAATGCTTTATACAATGGTAAGACTACTGCAACTTCCCTTTATGCCTCGGCTCGGCAGAATTGGAACAGTGCTGTTGTCCTTCGCTGTTGCTGCTGAGTATTTCTTGACATGTAGTGAGGCATTACTCGCATTGTGTGAGTAAAAACAGACCTTGGTTTCTCACGAAGCCCTGGGGTCAAAAGCAGCATAGTAGGTTTCATGTTTAGCTGAAATACACAAACAAATCGTTGGACAATTGAACACTAATTTAGCGTAGTTCACGAGAACGCTACCACTATGTTTGTGTTGTTACCTGATTTGTTCTCTACGTAATCCGCAGTTCGCCATTTAACTTGGCGATTTAAAGCGCTACTGTTAATAGTAGTGTTGTGAGGTCCTACTCACGTTTGTGAGTAGTGTTTGGATTACGTTTTAATAATGTAATTGGCGGTTTCTCGTGACGGTCAGAAATGATCGAGACCGCCTAGAGCGGAATACTGTGTTCTAAATTGTAACTACAGAAAATGTTCATCCACATAGGTAGCCGAAAGATAGCAACCAAAGCCGGTGCACGATAGTGCATGGTTAATGGCTGTACAATCTGAACTGAACTGACTACAGAAAATGCGCATCTAGCCTCAAACCTTTCCATTAATTATCCTGCGTGTTTGTGGAAATTATGGTGACCTGTTCCAAGTGAGATGTTTTTATGTACGCCAATTCATCGATACTCCCATCGCTGTTTGTAAAAACAACTCTTCTCGTCCGGCAATGTCTTAAGGATAGATAACAGTAGTAGTATTCTTTTTTCTACCAGGGCTTTTCTATAAGCTTGTACTATGCATCCTGAGACAAGTGTAAAATTCACAGTGTGATGTGCTCTAGATTAAGTGCATTGCCATCAAATACACATTCCACATCGGTATTTGGAGACCATTTAATGTCCTTTAGGGCTTCATCGATTGTAGTAGGGAAGGAGAATAACGGAATAGGACAGTTTTTGCCAAAATTGCTGCTAGTTCCCAAAGGGTATAATGATTACAGCAAATTACTGTATTTCTGGGGCACGCTTTATCCATAAAGGAAATCACATAAAGCCTCCCGGTAAGCTGAACTGAGCAACCCTTTTAGATCAGGACAAAAACTAATCGTTAGCCGGTGGTCAGCGTATCGTGCTTAAGCATTTGACAAAGGTGAACATTTGATCAATATAGCCGCGATCTAGCGGGAATCAAATTTGATATCCGCGAATTTACGCCTCTGTTGGAGGCGCCAGGGTGCATGTTAAACGTTGACGGAATCACACTTATCCTGCAATGGTTTATTCAGTTGTCACGTAACCCCTTAAAATATGACTTACAATTCAAACAGGAATGGTAAAATAAGCTCATCTGATCAGATGTAAAGTACTCACAAGTTAAAGTTGGAAAGATTAAAGCTAATTGTTTTATGTAAGTTGCAATTTTGAAAACACCGATGTCAGTACAGGTGAAAATAAGCCGACGTTTCGGTTACCGTGGGTAATTGTTTTTCTTTACGGAAGTATCATATACTCGCTTTTCCACTCTTCTTGCTGGCCTCGTTGTTCAGTGTTCTTACATGTTTGAATACTTGGTTTAATATGAATGACCCAACATTTGCGTCACCTGAATGCTAAGTCGATATTTGAAGAAAAAGTTAGTCATCTTCATATTGAACTGTTCTCACTGGCGCATCCACGACTTTATGATTGATGCTTCTCGTTGTTTTCATTGACCATTTACTGAAGTTTGAATAGTTGTCATCTGGTCTTAAGACGTTCAAAGTTTGTTAATATTGTGGGTATCATTTCAGCCGTCATCTGAGGGAATAACGCAAAATTGAAGTGTACCCCGACTTCATTCACTCCTGCTAAGCATGGCCAATCGTACGGTTAAGGATGCCCATACAGTGCATGGAACCAATCCGCAGTACCTCGTGGAGAAAATAATACGCAGTCGTATTTATGAATCCAAATATTGGAAGGAACATTGTTTTGCTCTCACTGGTAAGCTCTATTTAGTTCCCAGCTCTCATTTATTCGTTTACCATAGCCGAACTGTTGGTGGATAAAGCTGTGGAGTTGCGTTATGTCGGGGGTGTATTCGGAGGCAATGTGAAGCCTACTCCTTTCTTATGCCTGGCTTTGAAGATGCTTCAAATTCAGCCGGACAAGGATATCGTGATTGAATTCATCAAACAAGAACCCTACAAGTAACGAATACCCATTTCCATCGCGTTTCACTGTATTCCTTCCCCAGGTATGCCCGTGCTTTGGGCGCATTCTATTTGAGACTAGTGGGTGAATCGGTAGAAATCTACAAGTATTTGGAAACATTGTATAATGACTTCCGTCGCCTCAAATTCCAAGATCGTAATGGAAGTGAGTTTTATACATTTTACAATTGTCGATAGAATTTACTGACATTTCATCTCACATGAAATATATTTACCACTTCGAAATTTTCACTAGCCAGTGAGAGTAGTGGATTGTTCCCAACCCCTACTGTTACTATGTTACCTTTCTGTCTCTTTCTTTTACTTTCTTTCATTAGGCAGCTTTGCTGTCGTCTAAAACCGGCGCACGATAGTGTATGGTTAATGGTTGTAAAAACTAAACTGAACTGTCGTCCGGTTCAATGCCACGCCTTATCTACCGGGGCCTTATGTGGTTCGCCACTCCAAGTCCCGCTGCTTAGATTATGGGGTTCGCCGTCTGCTGGTCATCACATTGAAGTGCGTAATAAAAAACTCCGTATTCTTTTCAAGGTGGGCGGTGATTCTCTTGTTGACTCAGTTACTAGCTTACTTCACAGCAGCTGATCGGAGGAGCGTATCCCTTTGTCCTGGGGTGAATCGTTGATCGTCCCGATCTTCAAGAAGGGATCATGCAACGACTGTGCTAACCACTGTGGGATCAGTTTAGTTGCGATAATCACAAAAGTGTTAACTTCTGTGATACTTCGTCGCCTGACACCTTTAAGGGAGAGAAGTATCCGCGAACAGCAAACCGGATTCCAGGTCGCGGGTGCATCGACCAAATCTTCATTCTGCGCCGAGTTCTCGAACTGCGTCACATATATCGTCGGCCAACAATCGCAGTGTTCCTTGACCTAAAAGGAGCCTTCGATTCAGTTGACCGTGAACCGCTTCTAGAGTCGCTGCTCCGCAATGGAATGCCGCGGAAGTATGTAAATCTATTGTGGTCGCTGTACCTGCATACTTCTGGTAGCGTTCAGTTTAGTTCACTTTTTACAACCATTAACCATGCACTTTCGCGTGCCGGTTTTGGTTGCTGTTTTTTGATGCCCCATTTGGATAAAAGAGCAGAATGAAGATTGGAATGTTGAAAGCAAATTCAACCGGAAGATGGAGAATTCATATAGAATAGTCATAGGGGAATAATGAGTGGATGCACGAACGCCTCTGTTTGCGACACCCAGCCATATCACTCAGTGTCTCTAACCATTGGTTACGATCATCCCAAGGTCCCTAACCAGGGAGCCTAATGGGGTCTATGTGACCTAGTCTCCTGGTTTGGGTTTTCATATCCTCATGCCAGGTCATAGTTTGACCACCCTTGATCTTTTTTCAACCGCTACCAGCCTTGGCAAACATCGCTCACCCTATCTGGTGACATGTGTAACATGCCCCAACCAACGTAATCTATGGAGGTCACTTGCTCCAGTGGGCGACCGCGAATGCCTAAAACTCTATGCCTAACCTCAGCATTGCTCATCCGGCTGCCCCACCAGATTCGTGGAACGCTGCGTAGACAGCGGTGTTCCTGTTAAGGCTAAGTCTTTGCACCGTAGAGCAGGACTGGCCGAACTGCCACAGTATACACTCGACCCTTCACAGACAGCCGGATGTCGCGACGGTGCCACAGATATCTCAAGTTGGTAAATGCCAACCGAGCGTAGCGTAAGAGTTTACGGTGGGCTAAGTAAATCGTTCGAAACCAGGAGCGGTGTTCATTAAGGGTACCCTGATTCGCCATTCCTGTTCAAGTTCGTCGTAGACGAACTACTGGAGAACGCACTTAGTGGTCTCCAAAACGTAGGTATTTAATGGGCAGCTGGAGAAAAGCTGTGCGATTTATAGTACGCTGATGACATCGTATGCCTGTTCGAATTTAAGGAGGATGCGCAAAACGCTCTTTCAAGTTCTGTAACTCCTTTCGGTATGCTCTTTGCCCCTTCCAAGTGCAAATTGTTTCTACAAGACTGGGTTTCGTCCACCCCAGCGCAGATGCTTGATGGTTAAGAATTANCTGTAGTGGAATGTTTCACCTACTTAGGTAGCCGCGTTTCAAATGACAGCAATGACAGTCAATGAAGTAACCGCCCGCATTTCCAAGGCTCGAGCAGCTTACACAGGGGTAGAACACCTGTGGTGCAGACGCGGTGTTTCGTTAAAACTGAAAGGTCGTGTATACTGCGCCAGTGTGCCAGTTCTGCTTTATGGTTGCGACATCCTAAATTTGCGCGTGGAAGATATTCGTCGTCCACGACTGTCGATGTTTACGTAGTTTGGCGTGGGTTGGATGGAGCGAGCTTGTAAGTCGTCGCGTATTTGGTAATGATTCGATGGAGCATTCGTTGTCCAATTCGTTGTCGAATTCAGGTTAGTCGGCTTCGCTGGTCAGAGAATTACCAGCCATCGTCTGCTGCACCGCGCCCTATTCGCAGTTGCGGCTCCAGGTTGGAAGAAACCGCGTAGAGATCAACAGATGACGTGGAAGTGCGGCATAAAGAAATGCACAGAGCGATTAGGTAGAATCGGTCTCTGGTCTTCCAGGTCCGAAAAACTGCAACTGACTGGTTGGAGACACTAAAGGATATGGCGGCTAACCGACAGTAGTGGCGTTCTTGTTGTCATTTCTTGTCAGGTCAGAATGCTTGAAAAGGTGTGTATGCACACTTAGATTGTGTATTCTGTAAGTTTACCATATAGATTCACTTTCTTTGCCTCCCTCCACTTAGGTCCAATCTCTCTCCATCTTGTTCTTTATCACTTGATTTGTGTACATGGTGAGTTTGGCAACGATCAGTGAAGTTCATTTCACTGTATCTTGCTGTACGATGATGATGATGATGAATGATGACACAATTTTCAGGAAAGAGGAAGCGATCAATCACAAGGGTGAAGCAAGGTGTATCGGTTTTTAATTTGTTTGTGCAACCATTAAAATGACACTTTCATGCGGCTTTTTTCAATGTTCTCTTTTTGGAACTCATTTAAATGAAGCAGTGAACAGTATCAGGGTAACGAAGCAGAATACAGTTGGTATGAATTTGCTAATAAATCACACCACTGCGATCCTCAGCAAAGTGCAAAGTAATGCTACAGGACTAGGTTTCACCTACTCTCGCTGCGAAATTAAATAGTCAGGATTTAATTATAGAGGATTACTTTTCGTATTTAAGTAGTTGCGTGACCAATGACGGGCAGCAAAAGAAATATCCGCCCGCATTTCTAAGGCTCGAGCAGGATGCGCAGGACTGAAACACCTTTGGCGTAGATGTGACGTTTCACTGAAGTTGAAAGGTCCTGTATATTGTGCCACTGTTCGTTCAGTTCTGCTATATGGTTGTGAAACCTTGAATTTGCGAGCGAAAGATATCGACGAGAAGTTTTTGATTATCGGTGTTTATATAGTTTAGCCCACGTGGGATGGAGTGAAAGGGCTAGTAATCTGGAGGTAAGTCGTCGTGTGTTTGGGAGTCTGTCAGAGTTAAATGTGCTGGCACACCGAATTCAGATTAGTAGACTTTACTGGTTAGGACACGTAATGCGTATTCCCAGCTGTCGTCTTCCTATTTGCTGTAGCCGCTCCGAACTGGAGGAAACCACGTGAAGGTCAACAGATGATGAAGAGATGAGACATCAAAAAATGCACAGCCATTAGGTAAAGTAGGTGTCTTGCGCCTTCCAGGTTGGGGTCCGAAAGACTCCACAACCTGTTGGTTGGAGACATTGAAGGATATGGCAGCGAACCGACAACAGTGGCGTTTTTGTTGTCATTTCTCATCAGGCTGTAATGCTTGATGCGGTATCTATGCAGAGTTCTATTGTGTACTCTGTGCACTGATCATAGAGGTTCTCTTTTTCTGCCTCCCTCAGAAAGGTCGAGTCGCTGTCCACCTTGAATATTAACGCCAATCTTGTATATTGCGAGTTTGGCAGCGATCAGTGAAGTTCGCCTCACTGTATTTCGCTGTACGATGATCATGATAATGATGAAGCGATCCTCAGCCATATCACTCAGTGTTTGTGACTATGGAATAAACTGGTCCCTAAGTTCCCGACCGCGAAGTGAGGTGTTTTAAAATTCACAGAATTCTATCGTATCACGTGAACTAATGAGAGGCCATTTCTTCTTCTGACAGAAGCTACCAGAATTGCAGATCCGATTAGTCTCCCACAGATCAACTATGAATAGGTAGAGTTGTGAGGCTCACACACACACACATACACACTGGGCTATCCGGGATAACTTTGATGGTTCGGGCTGTCAGTAGTACGTAATGCAGTACCCATTCGTTTTCTTCAATCTATCTTTGCGATCACTGTGGTCAGGCCAGAGTAAAGTGATATTCTTTCTGCCGAAACAGTGAAGGCTTCCAGCACTTCTTAGCTATAGCCTCGACGAAGTTCAGCAGTCTTATTACGGATTCCTGAGTGAACATAACAACTTACAACTTCGTCAATCCACTGAATACAGCTCATAGTTGAACAAAAGGAATCAACCTAATCGTGGTATGATGGCACGTGAGTGATTTATACGCGAGTAGGTGGGATCGTTTGTTTGATGAATCATTAAACTAGATAGGAATCATGTCGCAAAACTGCGCGTTAAAGGCCAAGGCAGTAATAATCATTTGAAAGATTGTTTCACTGCACAGATTAAAAGGGTCTGTAGAACCAGGTTTCATTCGTTCCTGCGTTGGATGCAATACATCTATCGACAATCCATGTAGGTTGAGTGAAACATTTATGACGGATTGATAGTTTTTCCAATGATCAGTTTATTTTGGTTGGGTCGCACTCCTGATCAGATCCAATCAGATTTGAACTGCTGTAAAATTCTCCCTAGCTTTTCAGTTCAAGTTTCATTTGCTCTGTACAAGACTAAATTTATCATGAATACTCGTCAGATCCTCCACCTTTCTCTTGTAATCAATCAATCAATCAATCAATCAATCAATCAATCAATCAATCAATCAATCAATCAATCAATCAATCAATCAATCAATCAATCAATNAACCAGCTATCAAATCGATTAGTCGTTCGTTCGTGTCATATGAATCGTCACTACTTTTTGATTGATGAGGAATGAAATGGGATGTGACTGTCTCAATAATGAAGATTCACGATTTTTGAGCATTATCGAAGTTTCTGTTCGTCATCTTTTCTTCTGTTGACACGGTATCGTGAAAACCTTTGTTCGTCATATTAAATGCATTAGTCTTCATGTGCTTTCACACCTTTTACCTTTCACAGATTTCAGTTTGATCTACATGGACGATTTTATCGACAGCTTGCTCACAGAAGAGCGTGTTTGTGATGTGATCTTACCACGCTTACAAAAGCGTTCAGTGTTGGAAGAGACAAACTTGCTGGAACCACGATTGTCATTGTTGAACGAGGATCTGGATGATCTGCAATACGTGGATGAAATAGACACAACCGCTGGTATCCCGGGTCTGGGTGATGATGAGAATGACGAGGAAGGTGTTAGTGCTGGAGATCGGGACAAAAAGCGGTCACGTGATCGACCACGACATCGCGATCGGGACCACAGGGATCGTGACAGGGACCGTGAACGTGATCGTAATCGTGATCGTGACCGGGAGCGCGATCGTTCCAGAGAACGAGATTACGCCACTCATCGACGTCGGCATCGTGATGATTCTCCCCATGTTGAAAGACGGGATCGCAAAGATCGTGATGATCGTGATCGGGAACGCAAACACGATCGGGAGAAGAAAAGCCGGTAAGAACAATTAATTGTTTACAGCAGTTGACTATGTTGAGAGACAGCAGACAGTTACAATACAGCTCATTTCAAGGTCTTTTCGGCCAGTATTCTCACCCCTCAATATTGTCTTCCTGTCCATCCGTAGCACGCACTAAAGCGATTTAGTTACTGTTTGTTCCGCTGGCACACAGATGCACAAGAATTTGTGACTTACCTTGATTTCCGTTTGCTGGGAAACCGGCATCATGTCCTTGATTTTTGCATCCGGTTTCTCACAGTTCTCTTTGCAATTTATTCATAAATCTTCGTTAAATCATGCTCCTAGTGTGGTGATCTTACGATTGCGGGTCGAGACAAAAATATACGCAACACCAGCAACAATAATGCAAACACGGTCAACTGTTTTTCATAACTGAGTAATGAAGATTCATTCCATATAGTTAGTTAGATTAAAAGTCGAATTGAATATGACTTCGATTCCAGTAGGCTTTTTATTTTCGCACTTAACTTCCAGTCAGTGGCTTTTATTCTTATTTTGTATTAAAAAATACACATACCAATCCAAACATGAATACAGATACAAAATAATTTATTAACCGTCCAGTGGGATTGATTTTGTCTGCCTTCTCTTCACACACAATCATTAGTCAACCATTCAGTCGGTAAGCGCTAGACTCGTGTTTCGCACTTGTCAGAGCTCATCAATAGTGCATATCCAATAGATCATCCGACCGGGATCTGGGGCTCAAATCGTGGACGAGTCGGCTGATGAGCTAAGGGTTGGGCATGAAAATGAAGTCTGAAGGGGTTGATTAATCACAGTGAATATTTTTATTTGAGGGGGATGTTCATTTTCCCGTAATACGTACGCTACATGGTTCGATATTCGTCTTTTCTTGCTCATGCTTATCATCTCACAATCAGTGCTCGTATATGCTAATCGCTTAACAGTCCTCTCTTTTGGAAAACGTATACCATGGGCCTACCAAGCAAGGACAACCATCACGATGGGGTCGGACCGATTGCGGCCTAGTTAGTACAATAGTCTTCCACAATCTGTTGCTCATATGTCATCTTGCGGGCTTCAAATTGGTGTTTTAAAGATTTCATATGGGTAATCTATTACTCCACCCTTTTTCTGTAGGCGAAGTCGTTCCCGGGATCGTCGCGAAGGTGGAGGACGATCACGGAACGAAGACAGCCATTATTCACCAGGTACGTATCGCCCGATTCATTTTTTGTTGCCAAAGGACCCGAAAGGGTCCTGTTCAATTATTATCACCATACTTATTACCATTTTTCATCTTCATCATCATGTTTAAATATTTTTATTACATAGTTCTGTGTGATGGACAACAGATGCGTTAAATCCCACAGTCACGAGAACCTGCTGTTCACTCATGGGAACCGAGAACCCAAGCACCAAGACTTGAAATGGCGTACCACATTACGNCATTACGTCCCACTATGTTAGATGTGGTATTGAGCCGAACGACAGCGAAGCTGTCTGCCACCAAACGACATTCAGTGATAGTAAAGCGGTTTGGATGCTCTGTGAATGTACTAAATTCACTGAACTCGATAACCGTCTCTCAAGATACGCTCTCCAAANAAGAACTAAGGTTTTCATACGCTATCATGTTGTTTTGCGGGTCAGGCTTTGGCTTATACGAAGACTCCGGTAGTTCTTTTCGTTATCAAATCGTCCCTATCCTTCATTCACCTCGAGATGCATTTTGTCGCGTCAACTGTGCCAACTAGAACAGTTTTCGGGACTTCGTAGCTTCCCGTCTATGGAACGATTACTGTTTCACTTCGGACGTTCTCGTATCTGTTTTCATCTTAACTGACATTCGTGTTCAAGGTATGCATCATTTTACACTCTCTTTCCAACTCGAAACCCCCCAGAGTAGGTTGATCACACTTGAGCGTCTGAAACTATCAGCCTTCTACCACTGGCGTTGCTCGCACATCCCCATTTCCCACCATTTTACTAGCTACGAAAAGGTGTTTGTTAGTCATACAAAAGATCAACGAACGTTTCGTCCACTGCAAAACATCACGCATTGTCTTGTCCACTACCGGTCCTATGCAAAATCAGTTTACCTTAATGTCCGCCCTTTCACTTTCTCTCCCATCTGTAATTATTCTGGTGATCTTGAATCTCAACCTCACGAGAAAGCCGAGGCTTTGCTTCTTGATTTACTTTTAACTCCACCTTGTCCAATTATCCCGATCCTCCAATTTCTTTTCCACTAGCTCCTCTTTCCTACTAATTATCACTAGTAAGATGCACCAACGTTGGCACCAAGCTTGATCTCAAGCCGGTGATATATATATATATATATATATATATATATAAAATGCAT